AAACTGGGGAAGTAGATGGGAGGCTTCCTTTAAAGCCACATTTTAATACTAGTCAGAAAAGTGTCCCAGATTATCTGCAAAGAGGCAGGAGATAAATGTATGATGGTCCAATGACTGGCTGCAAGTAGGCACAAGACGGAAGTTAAAGATGGAATCACATGGGGCAGGATACCTTGGCACATTTTGTCAGTCAGCTCCAGTCCAGCTTCATCCTTTGCTGGCGGCATTGAAGTAGAGGCTGGCTGGCCATCTGCAGAACAGTGTCCAGGCCAGAGAACCGCTGGGCCCACTGATGAGTTCGCTCAGGATCTCCTTTTCCTCTTCACTACTGAAAACAGTTAGTTCATCTGCCTTTGCTCTGAGCCAGAATCACACCAGCTTTCCAGATGTAGCATTTGCCATACCAGGAAAGCAGCCAGAGTTGGGCCTATTTCTTGCTACATGACAGGTCAGTGGGATTAGCCACAACCAGCAGAGGAAATATGGTTTGTGGAGCACCTCTACCCCCAGTTTGCTATCTGAGATTGGGGAAGCACCCTGCTTCATGAGAAGGTTGTCCCTGTCACTGGGGAGTCCCATCCTCTTGAACCAAGTCCCCCAGATACAGGCATTGGAAGGAATGAGGCCCCAGCCAGGCTGGAGAACATTTCTGAAGAAGCCTCTGCTCCCTCTGTTCTGCTAGTGACCCAGAGAGCAGAAGTATACAGTCTTTAAACTGGAAATGCTCTTGCAAGCATACAGCTGGTCCAATACAGGTGTTAGATGGTCTGACCACTGGCTGTGCCTGCCATGGCCGGTATTTGGGCAGCCACATTCCACAGCAGATGGCATTTCCAAAAGCAGCCCCAGAGAAGGTGCAGTAGAGTAGCCTCACCTGGATGCCACTAGGCAGGGCTTTTTTTGTCATAGAACGCACTGGAACGGCAGTCCGGCACCTTTTTTTCCAATGGATTTTACGAAGTGATTTTGAATGGCCTGCCGGCATAGCAGGTCAGCAGCAAACGTTATTAACATAGTGCCTGCGGGCTGCTTTTGTGTCCGCACGGCCCGGCTTGGGACCCGCTCGGCTTGGGATTGGTGTGTGTGGTCGCGTGCTGAGTGCTTACTGCCGGCGGCGACGTGAGTTCCGGCACCTTTTTTTTTTTTTTTTTTACAAAAAAAGCACTGCCACTAGGGCATGTTCAATTGTTCAAGGTCTGTCCTTTCCAGAAACCATACCAAAAACCCACCATTGCCGGGTTGGCTGGCATAACTGTTGCTGTTGTGGCCTGAACATTCAGAAAGGCCACAAAATGGAGCAGTGTGATCGTTTTCCCCAAGCCAAGGCCCTCCGAGTGTGTGACATTACACTTGCCGTTGTGAACAGGCAACATGACAAATAGCTATGCCGGTTGAGGGTGGCAGGAGTTGTACTCCTACACAGACGGAGACCCCCTGGGTTGAGCAAGGCTGCTGTATGTTCTTTGCGTGATCTTGGGTTTTGTGAAGCTGAAATATGTGCGCAGGGAACCATGTGTGCTGCCTCAAGCTCCTTGGAGCAAGGTAGCGCTAGAGGAGGAAAGAATGCACATCGTTCCAGGCAGCCATTCATGTCCAGTTCCAGGATCCTCCATTCCATCGCCGTTCCCCACGCTTGGTTTTCACACACTCCCCATACACTGAAACCTAACAGGGAGGCGTTGTTCCATGGCTACTGAGTGTATTCAATTGTCATTGAGCTATTTAGAGGGAGGGGATACATCTGCGAGTCCGCTGATAGCTCTGTCCTGAGTAGGGGTGCTGCCATTTTGGCGACTTGGAAAATTAGTTCTCCTTTTGTGTAATTGATATGGAAGAAGGATGGACAGATTAGGGATGCCCTCCGAGCTCTTGGGTAGTTTCTGTGGGGTAGGTTCCCCATGGAAATGCACCCCAGGATTCTTGTCTCTTATGCATAATGGTTGGAAGTGTGCACACACGGACACAGCTTCTGTGAGAATAATTTCATACTACTGAGGCATTTCTTCCATCCACCCTCCACAAAACAGCCCAAGCTCTAAACTTGTCCTTCATGGTATGTCTACCCTCTTAGCACTGAAAGAGTTCTGGTCAGGTTTTAAAGATTAATTTCCTGGTAAAGAGAGAATTTCATAAATCTGTGGTACTGATAATAAGATGAATTTCTTTTGCTAAGCTGCTGAATAGTGAGTATACAACAAATTGCTGTAATATTTTACAAAATATAGAAAATTATATAATTAGGTAATTCATTAATTGATTAGTTAGCTGCTTGGGAACTTGTTGAAGAGGTGGGATGTAAATCAAATTAATTAGAGGGTGTTTTTTTTCCAGAATTAAATCTTATAAATGCTTTCTCATAAATAAGTCTCTCTGGGTTCCATGGGAATTGCTCTGTGGTAGGGAAGTCTAGGGCTCTCACCTAAGTCAACTATGGAACTACATTACTTCACACTATTGTTTTTGGTTTCTCTGTAGACATGGGAAATAATTACTTTTGCACTAGATATAAAAACATTGGCAGTGCATAATAAGGTAAATTAAACAAATTAAACTAGAGGTCTACATGAAATGACCCCCCAGGAATGTTAATGCTCTTTTCAGCATGAAACTAAAGCATATTGCTTTAGGTACCTTTATGCATTTGGCAGAAGATAAATGCCTTCACCCCTCTCCTCACTTCTTCCATGATAAACTTGACCAAACAAAATATCTTACAGTGTATACTAATCTTTGTCCTGTTTTGTTCTTCCAAAATGCACAAGTCTATTTGTGCCTGATACAAAGCATCTGTAGCCCTCTTCTGAAGCCACCTGCTTTCAATCTATTAATATTCCCAGAAGCTTTTTATGCTTTTCTCAGCCAAGGGCTGCAGTCATGCAATTCTGATACGATTACCAGTTTAAATCACTCCATAGGTCCGTATTTGCTTTGAAGTGATTACATGAAAGCTCCTATGCATACATCACAGGGGTATCTTTAGCCAGACATCATGGAAGTAATGAGGCAAGGCAGTGGACAAGTGAAAAGTTGCACCTGTGTTGGGCACACACCCCTTATAAATGAGGGGAGGGATTTACAGACATAGATATGAGATCCTTATATGGAAAGCATGTCAGTAGGAATTAGTAGATAACCAGTATTTTAATGTGGTTTTTAGTAAGGCTCTCAGTTTTTACTGATTTTAGCTGCTGCTCCTGGGGGTACACCTCTCATCAACCTTTCACCCACCGATAGATGGACAGATAATCAAACATCAGAACAATACCCATGTTGCTATGCCACTTACCAAGAAGGTCATTGGGCAAAGCTATTACCCCTGGCTAAGTTTGCACACAACAATTCTACTCACGACTCTCCTTTTCAGAAATGTGGGTTCTCACCAGGGCTGGTCACAAGTGTAGGTTCAGCTGGGCTCATGCTAAGGGACCATGCCCCCGCAGGGGACTAGATGAAGATTCCTTGGAATTGTTCCTCACCCTCACAACCCGTGTGCTCATCGCCTCTCGCTAGACAACTGTAGCAGCAGTGAGAAGCAGCAGCCACTGCCCCTCGGTGTCCTGCCTCTGCCTGTCAGGCAAGGAAGGAGAAAGAGACTGGGGAGCAGTGGCAGCTGGTGAAGATGGCACTGAAGACAGACGAGTGAGGGAGGGCTAAGGCAGCTTCCTATGTGTAGGCACTGGGCCCACTGCTCTGATAAAGGAGCTTGCAAATTGATTGTGGAAGCAGGTTCTGAGTCAGAAGAAAAGGTGGAACCATGTGAGCTTCCGAGGCCAGTGGAGCCAAAGATGCCAAGGAGGCACTGAAAATCAGACAGTTTCAAGTTCTGTGGGAAAGCTGAGCAAGCAAACCAACGGAGAGGGGGCAGACCTAAGACCAGTACTCCAAGGACACGATGTCAGGATAAGTGGGCAGAAGAAGCCTCGGACACCCCAAGCAATTGGCTTTAAGTCCTGAAGGTGTGGTTGGCTTTTTCCAGTTTTGGAAGGGAGGAGCAATTCTCACTTGTTCTCATTAAGCCACATTTCCCTAATGGTAAGTAGTCTAACTTGGATTTTTCTTTTGTTACTGACTTTTGTCATTCATCTTCAAAGCCAACCTTTAACATATTAATCCCCTTTTCTAGATGGAAAGCCTTTGTCTTGGTCTGCTTGGAAGGAGGGGGAGAATGGTTGCCACACTGCATTTCCTCCTAAATCGGATCACAGTCCACACAGCCCAGCATTGTTGAAACAAACCAGCTTTGGCTCTGCAAGGTTCCAGACAGGGCTTTTATCAGCTGTATCTGGAGGTGCTGAGGACTGGAGGTGGCACCTTCTGCATGCAAAGCAGGTGCTCTTGTACTGAGTTACAACCCTGCCGGAAGGGTCCTCCAAACCCTGGACCCGCTTAGCTTGACACCCTCTCTGCTTTCCCTACCCACATACCAATGTACCCCAAGCAGAAAACCAACTGCTAGAGAAATTATATGCAATCCAGAAAGATTGCAGAGACCTATTAGATGACGCTGGAAATCCATACAAAGAGCAGACTGACAGAAAACATGTCAGGGGCAATACGTGCAAGCAAGAGATCATATCTGGCTTTCCACAAGACATACTGAGTCTACCCACCCGTCACAAAAACTAGAGTATAGATACGCGGACCTTTTCTCATCATGTGAGGAGAGCCAGTGTGGTGTAGTGGTTAAGAGAGTGGGACTGGGACTCAGACGATCTGGGTTCGAGTCCCCGCTCGGCCATGGAGCCAACTGGGTGACTTTGGGCCAGTCACAGACTCTCAGCCCAACCCACCTCACAGGGTTGTTGTTGTGGGGCTAAGATGGAGGAGGAGAATGATGTAAGCTGCCTTGAGCCCTTTGTAGGAAAAAGGCAGGATATAAATCGAAAAATAAATAAATAAAATGTGTATCATCAACCCTATGGCTCTTTGTCTTTGGTTCCCCGTCTCAATGCAACTCCATCCTGTATCTTACTACAATTTTATATCACACCATAAGCCAGTAAGTAAATGAAACTGCTTTATTTGTATTACATTCTCTTAATGCAATATAAAATAACAGATCAACAGTTTGAGTAGCATAATTAAAATATTTGGGTTTTTTTTAAATACAGCATAAACTATTATAGTTTTTAACATGTACTATAGCCTGCATAAAAGCTTGCAGAAAGCTCACAATCAATTACAATTCGCATACTTTATATCAACATACTTAAGGTAGTTCTCATGCCTGCACACTTCAGCAAATTTCTTAACTTGTATAGATTTAAATAATCTATGCAGAATGGTAGAAATATTTAGATCACATATTGAAGTTTAATCATTTGTTATAATAAAGAGACAACTGGCCATAGAAACCAAACCTCTGTTATTTCGTTTGTTTGTTTGTACGTTGCAAATGTAGCCATCCCAATACAATCCTACAACTTTCGAGATATGGGAAAACCTTTAATTTTGCACAGAGTGTGCAGAACATAAGTGAAGTGTAGATCTACTAGTAGATCAGAATTTAGGACTCTTAGGGAGCAATCCTATACTACACAGACAGTATCTGAGGGGTCATAGGATACTTGGGATTCACAGCTCCAAGGCTGGAGACAATGCTCCAACCTTGAAACTGGGGGGAGCTGCAGTCTACAGTGATTAAAAACTGTTAAAAATACATTATACACATCATGCAAACATAGCAACAAAGAGCAACACACATATCTGAAAGATTTTATACAATTCAGGACCTTAGTCTTACTTTTCTCTTTTGTAACTAAGTATGAAAGAGTCTTAAAAAAAAAAAAAAAAGGAGCTGTCTTGAAGTTTCCAGCATTGCAAAGTGAAATTTACTAAATTATATGGCTAAAATGAAAAAAGCTGGGGGAATAAACAGGTGAGTTTTTCCGTGGAAGAACTGAGACCTACATTCTGGTTTCGTACTCAAAACCAATTACTGAGTCCAGAATGTTTTAAATTTATAGCATTTTCAGATGAAGATTTTATTATGCAATTACATTGCCCGGTTCATGGATTCTTACAGAGGGTTCAGACATTATTGTCTTCCATTTGGAAACCTCCTGTTTTTCCCAGTATGGCATCCATCTTCTTTCTGGATAAGGAGGACAGGATGGAACAGATGCTGTGACAATTTTGGTGCTGATTAGTTCCCTTGGGAGAAGATGGACGACCAGCTATTCATCCAGCCCTGATGAGCAAGGCCACATGGAGAGGGAAAAAGAACAAACTCCTCCCGAGTTTGGCCTGAAATCACTTCCTAAACTCCAGATTGAAGAATAAAGTTCATTACCAACAAAGGTTACAAGACAAAGGGGGAAACAAACCAGGCAAAACTCCAAATATATAGAACTTACTAGCCTATAATAATTGAAAGTTCTTCGAAGAGACAGCTTCAGTTCTTAATAACCCATTTACAAAAGTGATAATGCCCCATTTATTTCCCCTGACCGAAGGAGGACTAGCCTGCCAGGTCTCGCAACATGTTCAAAGCCAGTGTGGGTTCCAGGTTTTCAAGGGCCCTAGACAAGGCGCCTTCACTGCCCCCTCACGGAGTCACTTCTTGCACTGCCACTGTCACCAGATGCTCCTCTGCGAATGCCCATGCTGCCGCCACTTGTTTGATTCCAGGCAGCTGCAGCATCTCTTGCTGCTTCTCCCCACTTCTCGTCTGGGCCAGAGCAAGAGACAGATTGGCTCTCCAGGTTCAGTGGAGAAGGAGCCACTCCAGAGGCTCTTTTCAGAGGGATGAAGACTTGGCAGGTGCCCAACCAAGCCGACCTTGGACACCTGCCCTGTATGATGCATGGGATGCCCATTGCCTCCAGCTGGACTGGAAAGAAGCACCTTAAAGGAGAATAATCCTGCCACGCTCAGCCAGATGAAGCACCTCTACAAATCTGAACATTCTTCCAGGCCCCAACAAGAAGCATCTGCTTCACTCCCAAATGCCCACCACTAAGGGGAAAAGAGATGTTGAAAAAAAAGTCAACACCACAGGTACTATTTGTTTGCTAGCATGAGCAGCCCCTATCTGGAAGCTTCATATATCTTCTTCCCTGGACTCTGGTTGGTGGACCTTTGGGTTCTAGAATAAAAGGCCTGCCCACTCCTGCACTTGACTAGGGCATCCCTGAAGCAATACCCAGGCGTCAAGGAGCACTTCTCTCTCTCCCAATGTGAGTTCAGGGACATTACCCATTATGGGTAACAGGAGGCTGGTGTGCTTGCATCTTTTCCTCCGTTCTCATTCGAGAGCAGCTATGTGTCCTCTTTTGTGCAGGACGGCCCTCTATTAAGACTGCCAGGGCACTGTCGTCTAATTTGAAGACATCTTCTATTTGCAATCCAGTCCATTGCCCATTTGAAGATAAGGAAGCTCTGGGCCCTGAAGGTGTCCATCAACAGTTAACACCTGGACAGAAGAACTGAGCAAAGAAACTCACCTCCTATGGCAAGATGCATTGTATCTCTATTTAAGTTATAGTTATTATTTACACATTTGCATTTCTTCTAGCATTTGCAAATTTTATGCAAATCTCTGCCCTCCTTTGGGTGATTCACAAGTGACTGCCCAAGTTCAGCCTGGGACCCAGCTCAGTTTATGCTGCACTTTGCACTGAGTGTGACCACCCCCACTGGGGCACAGATGTAGCACTGCTGTTATTGCTTCCAGTTACAGAGAATGGCTAGCACACTCCAAGAAGGAAAGCAGGAAAGCTCCCTTGGGCCACGTGGTGACTGCACCTTTTATTTTGAGGCATAAAACTAGGCTCCAAAAATGGTACAGATACAGAAATGATGTCTTCCCTTATTACCATTAGTTTGGAATGTTCTCACACCATTATTTTTTCGATCCAGGCCTAATACTTTTAAAATGAAATCCACCATGTGGGAATTCTGCTGCAGGTGTAAAAAGAAAGGCAGATTGCATATCAGGATCAATGCATACATTATTATAGCAGAGAGGGGCCTCTTTCCATGTGGTTACATGCCATACTTATCCATCAAGAATGCAAGAAGTCCTGCAGATGAGGTCCACTGGTCCAGTATCCTGTTTCCCCCAGTGATCAGACAGATTCTTCTGGACAGCTGCTCATTTCCCAGCAACTGTTACTCAAGAGTAGGACATGAGAAGCTGGCTTGCACTGAGTTAGACCTCTAGTATGGCCCAGAATTGTTGACACTGACTGGCAGCAGCTCTCCAGGGTTTGGGGCATAGATTTTTCTAGTTTTGCCTGAGGATGGCAGAGAATGAACCCAGCTCCTCCTGCATACAAAGTACATGCTCTACCTGAATGGATGAATGCCCATCTTACCCAGTTATTACTATCTTCTTGTTTTGCCTTGTCCATTCTTTTCCTGACAAGTTCTTGCCTCAGTGCATTCTCTTCTCGCCATGACCAATGCAACCAGAAAAAGGACCAAAGAAAAGCCCAACATGGGTGCAGTGGATGCCACCCATCACTTTTACGCATTCCTTCCATTTGCTTTATTAGTTTTGAGTTTCAACCTGGGACAGCTATGATGAAATCCATAAGATGGATAAGCTGGTGCCGTGTTCATGAGCAATGTGGTTGACCCTGCCACGCACACAGTCTAGTGAAACAGAGATCATTGTGCCGTTGTGGACTTCAAAAGAGGAGCGAAGGCTAACACTGGCCCAGATGCTTCCTTCTGGCATTTGGCCTCCAACTTGCTGAGCAATTGCATTTGGCTGCACATTATCACCAATGAGCTGATTTAGCATCACTCTGAGCATATTGCAGGAATGGATCAACTTTAACGTAAATGCAACACTGGCAATTCCCCTTTCAGAAAATACAAAATATTTCTGAGCATATCGCCCAGCAGAAACCAGATGGATCTGTTTCTCACTGGATGAAACTTGAGTAAAATCCAGTAATTTGTTTCTAACGGCTCCTGTGGGCAGCCCTGTAGAACAAACCAAGGCTGAAAGAGCAGTAGAAAGTTCAGGTGGGATCCAGAGGAGGCTAAGCGAGCTAATTCCAGAGCCATCTCCAAAATAGCGAACATTACATTGTACTGGCGAAAGGATCTCAAAGCTAATCAGATCCCCAGCTCCAACTTTGGTGGCCCCTGAAGCAGAGATGGATGTATCTCTGTAATTGACACCAGACTTATACGCGGTCATTAGTTCCACATTGGTGCCATTTCTGTTGAGATAAGAAACCAGCGAAAACCCTTCCCGAATGCAGGTGTGACCCATGGAGTATAAGGCTTGATGGAAGACAAACTTCACAATACCACTTTCAGTAAATTTGACAGCTCTGCCGTCGTGGGACAATGTTAGCATGTAAGGGTCAGAAAGAGAAACCAACTTAAATGTTGGCCGATAGTTGGTTTGGTAGTGTGTTGCTGTTGCTGTCTGTGCCGTCATAGCCACTGCCCCTGTATCATGGGACAGCCAAAATATGCTGAGGGGGGTGTTGAGATCATAAACACTCAAGTCTTTACTTTGGTTGCAGAACTGGTTGGGACTCTTCAAAAACACTGAAAGTGTTTGACCCGGTTCAATTTCTGCAGCACCGCTAGCACTGGCGCTCTGAAAAATTTTGCCTTCTGGCTGCTCGATCCGAATGCCGCTCAGCTCACAGCCTTCCTCACTGTTGTTGAATTTCAAGGAAACCTGGAGGAAGTTTCTACAATTGTGCTTTGCAGCAAAGTTCACGTCAACCCACATCAAGCCATGCTGCCTGAACACCAGGCTGGTTTCTTTGACTGATCCTATCTCACACTCCTGCTTTCCTTTTATCTTCAAGTTAAAACCAGGATGGACTTGAGAAGTACCAGACACCGCTAAGGGGAAAACAAGGTTTGCAGCACAGGACTCAGACAGCTTGATTTCACCGACAGCTGAACACACGGTATCTCTAACGGCAGAACATGGGAACGCAACCAGCCCATCTTCACACGTGAGGCAAGCCTGGCACTCCTGCAGTTCTTTGTTAAAGAAGTACTTCTCTCCGCACAATCCCAAAGAAGCCTCTTTTTCTGCAATTCCAAGACATCGAAATCCTCCTGTTCACAGGAAGAAAAGTCCGTTTCAGTCACAGGCACACATTTCATTATTTACTTCGAATGCTTACACTCTTGCCTTTCCAATTGTTTAGGATGATACTATATTAAATCGTCACATCAGCATATACCCCAAATGGAAAGCTTTCACCAATTAAAGAAAGCTGTTGATTTAATTGTACGAATTTCAGTTGATCCCCTGATTTAATAGTTCACTATATCTTCAAGTGAGTTAAAAAAATCATGATTCTGAAGCAATATCAGCCCATTATCTTTGCTTTTAGATGATTCACAATACATGTTGTAACCAGCACAATCTTAAAAGGCAAGCCTCTTTTCTCATATCCAGGAAACAAGTCACTTCTAGGTATCTTGTTTTGCATAGAATTTACAAATACTTATACTAAAAATAGCACCTCTTTAAAAATCTGCCTCAGGGCACCTTTTAGTCAATCAGTTTGATGTATTAGTCCCACCATCTATCTCAATTTTCTCCAGGCTACCTCCAGCTGTGTTGAACTACCAGTCTCAGCCAGCAGAGGTGATGGGAATCCAATACATCCGGAGGCCACCAGAGGTATGTTTCAAATGCTGTGCTACGAGGAGGTGCCAGGACACGTACTGTGGTGGGGTAAGCACATGGTCTGGGGCACTGCTGTGCAGGGAAGCCCAAGTCTGGCCGCAAGACCTTTGGAGGCCCAGGCAGGTGTCAGTGCTGGGCCCCAGCAGCCATATGCTGGATGGGTTGCTGGCTGCTGGTGCCACCCCTGGTTGCTGGGAATTTTCCAACAGCACCACCACTGTGCTGCTTATAGGCCTCACCTGCTTTTAGGCCTCATCTAATCAGCCAACAAACCAGCTGTCCAATACGCGTTTGACATTCATTAGCATAGCTTCAGGTGTTATGGACTGGAACCAGCTGAAGTCGCCTATGCTTTAATGACACTGAAATCTGTGGGACAAGTTAGTCATAATTACCTTAAGTTCTTTTGATCTCAGTGGAACTAAAGCATGGCTAACTTAGGTCCAAGCTAATATTTTCAGGTGTTTGAAAATGCATGAACAGCAAACTTTCCCATCTGTGTCCAGTCTCAAAAAAACAGCAATTTACCTGGCGTGTTCAAGCACTTCACCCTCTCCCCACAGATATTCGGTGATTCAACGCACTCATCTCTGTCCTACAAATAACAGAGTCAGGATCAATCACAAGTCAGTATTTTCTGCAGAATATTCCAGTCTGTATCTTTTTACATTCACGATATACATATCGGTAGAAGCATGTAGCAAAGGGCCTGTCTGTGATGCAATTTGCTAATAATTTGCACACAGCAGGATGCAAATGAATGAATTGCTTATCTACTTAGCAACATGACTACACGTGCATGCTCAAACTCCAGGACTTCTTAGCCTCGCCTCCTCCTTTCCAAACAGTCTAATACAAAGTCTTGTTCTCATTAGCTTTCCTCTTTGCTATATTTTCAGTCCAAATTTCTGGAGCTTCCTACACTGTAAGTTTCTTTGTTTGCCATCTAATCCGCTCAAAAATTTATCTTGCACCAGTATGGCTGCCCTAAAGGACTGTAAAGTGGTAACAAGGGGCAGGAAATTCAGAAGGTTCCAAATGTTTCCGGCTTGCTAATTTTTTCATACATATTTAAGGTCATTTGGGATGACTTCTCAGTGGCTTTTGTGCCACTTCTATTTTTGCAAAGACCTTTGTGCTGGCAATCACAAAGGTCACGTGGCAATCATGGATCTCATAGCCGAGAGGATGACATCACAATGCTGTGGGACAAGATTTGGCTGCGTTATGATATCACGAAGCCAATTCGGAGTGTGAGCAAAGCTTTGACCTCACTCTGAGTGAGCACTGGAGGGACTTGCCACATGCCTAACACTGGTCCTATTCCCCCTCCCCCCGCCAAAAAGGGGGGAAAAGGCAACTTGGCAAAACATGTTATGAAAGTACTGCCCTTAAGTATATCCTTCAAAGTTATTGTGTACTGTATGAAGTAGTACTTCTTTGCTTTGTTGTGAACCTACTAGCAATCAATTTCAGCTGGAGATTCTGTTTCCATAGAAAAATGTGTCCCTGTCTATTACCTCCACATGACTCTTAAGAACTTTCTAAGAAACTTTGACAGCATTTTCTTTTTTTTCAGTGGCTTAAATGTCCAGCTGTTTCTTTCAGACAAGTCTTCGCTCAGCAGTAAGCAACCTGAGGTCCTCCAGATGTTTAGGCTACAATTGCCACCAGCCCTCACCTGACTAGAGATACTGGGAGCAGCAGGCCAAATAATCTGGAGGGCCCCCAGTTGCAAACCCCTGCCTGAGGGATTGCAGCTCTTCCCAGAATTCATTGCTTCTGGGCATGCTCACAGATGCCTGAAGTCCAGTGCTAACTTCACAGTATTGGCAACACTACACAGAAAGGGAGGAGTTCTTACCACTAGGTATCTCCTACCTGGATCAAATGCTGATTTAACTATCTTCACTTCAAAGGAAATACATCATCTAACTAGTCAAAGTCTACTTTGACTTCAAGACAGATGAATAGATATGTTAGATAGGTATATTAGATATATTACCCCAAGTTTATATCCATCCCCAATAGAGGTGTGTACCATATCCTCTGAAAGCTCCACCTATTGCTACCTGTTTTTGTTTTTAATCACTCACTGCCACTATGGTTTTGCCATCGCATATTTCAGTTACATGACCAAAACTCTGGCTAGAATAGTTTTCTCTGTCCTGGTGCTCTTCAGAAATTTTGGAATACAAATCCAATCATGCTGTTGGAAGTTGGAGTCCAACTATCTCTGAAGCAACCAGGCTGGAGAAAGCTTAGCTAGGGAGAGGGAGAATGACCTCCTTACCAGCATTGCACGAGGTTTTACTGATCTTGTGTTGTTATCTGCCTTGGATTTACTTTGATAAGGAAAAGTGGAAATAAACAACCCCCTTACCATGAAGAATTCATTAAATCTGTCATTGTTCTCCATTCCTCTACCAAAGGGAAAATTTCCTAAAGGCAGCACACCCTTTCAGCTGGAGAAAGACGCTTGAAGTTCTATGGATGTTTAGACAGAAGAAAGTCCCACGGCTCCCAGCATTTCCCAGCCAACAGAGCTGCACGGGACACCAGGGCTGGCTGGCAGGAGAGGGGCCATGCCAGAAACACTTTGCTTGGAGCTCCTTCTCTCCTGAAACTGGCACTGATTGCAGAGGCTTATGGAAATTATGGAATTCATCAATAGGAGATGAGGATTCCGAGGCCCAGCAGCCAAACCTAGCCCATCTGGGCTCCCAATCCCCTTCCCCTAGCCCCACTCATCAATCATTTGGTGGCTTTTTTCCTGTTCTGTGCAGCTTTCTGCAAAGGCTTACTTACTAGCAGTAAGAAGTTTAGCATTTGGGAAAAAAAAGCTGGTTGTTTTTATATTTTGGCCTTGTCCCCTCTACCTGGGGCTCTACCATCACTGGAATGCAGCCTCCAAGAACGTCTCCAAAATGGAATTCCACCCTCACCCTAAAGAGCTCTGCCCACCCCTCTTCATAAATCAGGGGTCAAGGCTCAAATGCTCTTAGCCTGTGCAGTATGCGTGGAAACAAAAGGGAGCATGTTAAGACTACAGACAAAATAAACGTGGCTTGTACAAAGAGCAATTCAGCTAAAGCCATGCTGGGAAATTAATGCAGTCTTGCTCTTCCATCAATATGATTGTGGCTCTCCGGTGTCTTGCATTAAAATGTAGAGCATGAAAGTATTTTACCTGGCACAGCCGATCAGCATTTGCAGAACACTCAGAGAGCTGGAAAAAGCCAGCGGGGCATAAGGTGCATTTTTCACACTGAGAGGGTGTCTTCTGGAAATTGCAAAATTCATCACTTTCACACAGGCCACAGGCCATTAAAGGTTCTCCAACATCAATCACTTTTGCATCAACTTCAACTTTATGCACCGGGTATGACTTCTGGAGATGATTCCTGACTTGGTTCTGGAAGCCTTGGAGACTGGCTTCAAAATACTGTTGAATATCCTCTTGCAAACTCTTAAAGGATGTTTGTTTCACGGTGTCATAAAGCATGCCATACTGGACCTTTATCAGATCCATTTGCTCATACATTTTCCTCTGTTGCTCAATAATTTCCCGCTGCTGAGTAACCAATGTGTTCTGCTGCTCTGCCAGGTTTTGCTGTAAATCCACAATCATCCTCTGCTGGCTTTTTAGCATTTCCACAAACTTCTCTTGTCCTTTTGTAAGCTGAAGTTGCAGTATAAGCGCATCCTCAGAAGGGACTTCATTTTCCCCTAAAAGGTAAACAACAACCTGGCACTTTTAAAAAATGAAGCATCTTGGTTTTATTTTTCAAAATGCCATCAAATTTTCTTCTAATCAATCTCTAAATATTCAGCCTCCCCCAGTCTAGCAACCTTCAGATGTATTGGACTACAACCCCCACCATTTTTCCCTTAGCATCACTGCACTGAACTGATGGTTTATGGAGCGGGACTCCTGATTCCCCCAAGCAAGCCCTCAGTTTGAATGACTCCATGGTGGCTGATTAGGAAAAAGGGATGGACAACCTTTCAGTGTGAATTATTCCTTCTGGAAGGCATGTTCTTGTGTTTAGCCCAAATTAACAGTAATGTACTGTATACCTCTTTGAGGGGAGGAGGGGGGGAAGCAAGGCCAAAGTGGCTGGGGATGATGGAATGTGCCAGGCTGGGAAAAGTCTGGCCCAGATAACAGCCAGGTGTAAGAGCAGCATTATTGGAGAATCTATCCCTGAGCAGGTGAAGGGCAGAAATGAATGAAGGCAGGCTGAGGTTAGAAAAGGTGATTCTGTGTGGAGAAATGTCCTTCAACCACATTTTTGCATAGATTGCTATTTATAAAAAGTCATCATTATGCCCCATTTGCAAAACTCAAAGCTTATTAACACCAGACACTGGATTTAGTAGCTTGTTGTAGGCCAACAAGAATATAAGAAGTGTCTTGCTGAATCAGACCAACATCCATCTCGTCCAGAGTTCTATACCCAAAGAAGACAATCAGCTGCCTGTAGGAAGCCCACAGGCAGTGCAGTAACATCTTCCCAGTGGTGTTCCCTAGCAACTGGTGTACAGAAGCATATTGCCCAGAGCTCCCCCAGGTTTATGAAGGCCTTTGGACAAGAAAATGTCACATTCTCACTGGCACCTGCTGCTCCCCATCTTCTTTCTCCCCACTTACTGCTTGACTCGCCTTTCCCACTCCTTCTCACCATCACCACTGTCTGGCCCAGAGCAAGAGACAAGTTATGTACCAAGAAGGCTGCAATACTGAAGGGCACAGCAAGTCAATAGGCCCCTGCCGGAGAGTGGGCCACGGGCAGCTGTCTGATCATGCCTGCCTCTGACATCAGGCCTGATGCTGCTTTGCCCATGTTGTTACCTAAAAGTAGAATTCTCTTTTGCAACTAGCCTTGCAGACAGCGAGAGGCGGGGCAGGGTCTCAATGTGGCCTGCTGTGCCCATGGAAGCCTCTCTAGGCAACTTGCTGCCTCATTCAATTTTAATTTCATATATCAATGTATCGGTGTAACATTAACTGGGAGGCTGCCCTGCTGCAATGCAAAGTGCTGCCCTCCCACTTTATATTTATCTGGGTTCTAGAGGCTGGGTTTTGTGGTTTCATACATCAACTCCACCTTGTACTTGGGTTGTTGGGTAACTTTCTTTCCGACTCACCAGCTGGCTTTCTGAGAAATGAGCACTTTGTGATGAGCTTTGACCACTGTGAGAACCTTTTATAAATGGGCCAGATCCTGCCATCTTGGCCATATTATGAGGGTTCCCACAGTACAGTCCATATGTGCCCACCGACCCAAAGAGGTTAGGGACCCTTCCCTTCCCCTTTCCACCGCCACCGCTTTCAATGCCAACACCTACCTGGCTTGACATCACAAGTGAGCTGAACCCCCAGAGCAGCACCGCCAAGTTCTGAAGCTGTGTAAGCCAGGTCTTCCCCAATGAACTGGGCTGCCTTCTCGGCCACTCTCACAAGGGAAGGTTCAGGGCAGCCTTCCCCCTGGCCTGGGGGGCAGGGGATGGCCTGGACAGCCAGCCGGGGCTTCTGGCGAATGCGCAGGGGGAGCCTGCACTCAATGCCTTTGCAGTCCCGCACAGTGCCATTGGCAGCCCCGGTGGGGCAGTCCCCTCCTTCAGAGCAATCCCTCGTGGCCAGGTCAGTCTGTGGCGAGTGGCTCCCCGCTACAGGTGGCTGCTGCTGCTTGCTCTGCAGCTGCCCTTGCACAGGTGTGGTGGTGTGGACAAAGGTGCGGGACAGGCGGCTGGCCTTGCCTGAGCAGTGAGGACCCTGGCAGGGCTGCCTGAAGGGGGGGTGATGCTCACCATCCCCGCTCCTGCTGCATGGGGGGCTTCTGCAGACCTCTCCATGCACACATCCTCCTTCTCCTGCCAGAAGCCACAGGCAAACCGCTAGCCAGCAATAGCAAGTCCAGTGCGGCTGCCTCAACCGCATCTCCAGTCACATCTGCAAGAGAATGAAAGTGTCCAAGAGTCTGTTGGTCAGGAAGAGAGAGACTAACCATTCCCTCAAGTCTGTGACCACATCTGGATCTGTTTTGGGCATGAGTGGGGGACTACAGGCTCTGGGGCTTCCCCAGCTGGCCGTGCCCTTCCCCAAATTATTTGGTGGTTTCCCAGTTTTTGTGCAGTGTCTTCTTCTACCATTTTAGAAGGTTTAAATGCCTTTTCTAAGGCTTAATTACTGGTGGTAAGAGATTTAATCTAAAACAAGCTGGTGTGTTTTTATTTTTGGTCCCACACCCTTCTGTCCCACATGCCCCTGGAATGTGGTCTCCAATAAATTCTCCAAAACTGAATTCAGTCCGTGGGCTGAAAGAGGTCCACACCCCTAGTTTTAGGATAATAACACAGAGAAAGAAACGGACAAGCATGCATGTGATGTGGGTTGATATGGTGTCATTTGTGCTAATACCACTGTCAAACTACAGGAACTTAAACACTGTTCTCATGTGCCTCTGCAGCAATTCTATGAAGCAGGTAGAGGAAAGGGTGAGTGTATGTCCTACCCAAATGGTTTTCCACTTAGTTCATCCAGACCCAACACAGTGTCTGGGTTCAGACAACATAACACACTCTCAGGAGTTGGGCAAGGGTTCAGTGAGAGTTCTTGCTGAACCATGCATTGCCGTGCTGTGCTATCTCAACCCAGCTGCACTAACAAACCTTTGCTTCTTAACAATGAACAACCCATGAAGGAAGCCCATAATTTGTTGGCAGGTCGTGAACTGTGGCTTATCTACCGTGGTTTGCTATCTTGGCTCAGTTCAGACAACATGATAACCTGTGTTTCAACAACAACCCACATTCTACCCATTTTCAACCATGAGTGGGGATTCTTGTGTTGCCTGAACTAGGGATGTCTGAGTGATCCATTTGGATTCCCTGGGATCAGCTCCCTAGACTCCAGTCCACTTTGTTGAGGCCATGAGTCCGAGTTCAACATTCCTGTAGCAGTTGACAGGAGTCAAGCCCCACCTGAATGCTGCACGTGGCATCCCTCTTCCACGTCACACACAATTGCCTTTGCTTGTGTTCAACAACGTAAAATTAAACGATGGAATTCCTGCCACAGGAAGTGGTGATGGACACCAATCTGGATGGCGTTAAAAGGAGACTGGACAGATTCATGTGGGTGAAGGCCATCTGTGGCTGCTAGCCTTGCTGGCTCTGTGATGCCTCATTTACCAGAGGCAGCACGCCTGCAAATGCCAGCTGCTGAGGGGCTGGGCAGGAGGGGGCCTTGCACCCATCCTGCTTTAAGGATCCTCTGGCCAGCTAGTTTGCCTTTGAAGTGCTGGACAAGACAGACCTTTGGTCTGCTCCAGCTTGGCTTTTCTTAGCGTCTTCTTATGCGCTGTACATGACATGACATAGAACAACCAGGGTCCCATGAGCATTTGTGGACTTCCTTTTGGCTTAGCTCACTTTCTAAGACAGTACCAAGCATGAGGGCAGTCCACAAATACTGCAGGGACAGATTGGGCAGAGCTTTGTCACAGCCGTAGCCTGAACCCAATTTCTGTCTTGGTACTTTTCTTCTTCCTTACTACTGACCGACAGGCATGTCATGAGCAGAGCTGGCAGGAGCCAGGGGTCAGACTAGATCATAGGTCCTCAAACTACGGCCCAGGGGCCGGATCCAGCCTACCATGCCCATTTATCCAGCCCGCCATGCCCATTTGGACCTGCCACGTGTGCGCCCACCGCCGCCCACCTCGCCCCTCGCGCAGGGAGGCCGCGGGTTGCTCGCTCAGAGAAAACGATCTCCAAGTGAGCAAGCCGCTGCCTCGTGCACCCGCCTTGCGGCGCGTGCCCCTCCCCACCTCGCCTCCCCTCCCCTCGCTGCACCCCACTGCATGCGCCACCCCCGCCCCCTCACCGGCCCGCGCACACCCCTGGCACCACCTTTCGGGCCCGCGCCCAGCACCAGCACCTGTCAACTGGCCCCCTGCTGAAAAAATTTGAGAACCCCTAGGCTAGATGGTCCGGGAGGCCCCTTCTGACTCTCTGTGTTTCTATGAGAGAGCAAAGGCAAGGGGAAAAAAACCTATTACCAGTAAGCTTTAGCTTACAACTTTTACTGCTGGTAACTGCTTTATGAAAGTCAACCTTTTAGAAAGGCAGAAAAGTGCACAAAGGCTAAAAATCAACTAACCACTGGGGACCTAGGGAAGGAGAATGGGGCCAAGGAAGGGTGTATGGCCCAGATGGCCAGACTTGGTCTCCGGACCTGAAGTTCTGCATCTTTGCAATAGGTAGTTTGAGCCTATTCCAAGGGGTACTCTCTTGCATCTCCTCAGTTACACATTAAAAGCAAGCAAACATCTGAGTCTCTTCTGCTGTGCTGCTAAGGAAGGACAGAATGCAAGGGCCAATGTGATGTGTATTATCTACACATGTGGCCCACATGTGAAGAAAAGACCTCAGCAAAGAAACCACTTCACGGCAGACAACTCCCCCATCCAAAACGTCTATGTCCGACTGATTGCAACAGATTTTACTTCTAAATATTTAGTAGAATGGAGGTGTCAGAGGATGGAACTGAATCTGAAGATACCTTTCCCCACCCCTAAACTACATCTCCCTTTGGTCACATTCAAGACTGAATGAAGGAAAGTTAGGACAGGCAGATCAGAAGCAGCAAATCTTCAGAGGCAGCTCCATTCTTACAGATGCTTAGGTATGCGCTAATAAAATGCACAATATTTACACAGGCAGACATAAAACCAGTTATGTATATTCCTGGCTATTTATCTGGCCCATCCATACGTCTAAAAAGATAGCATGCTTAAAAATGCCCTTAGCATTCAGTTAAACACCCTTTGTCCAAATAGACCAAAAAACCTCTTAAAACAAATCTGGCAAGCAATTCTATTCCATTTGTGGAGATCAAGCCGTTCTCTCTTTCCCACCTCATATTATAAATTTCCCCCTCCCATCGTTTACAAGCCTCATAAACTTTTAACCAACTTTTAAAGCACGCCTAAAAATGGCCATAATCCCGCGTCAGTCTTAGGCTGCAATCCTATAAACTTGTTGGGGAGTAAGCTCATTGAGGACAGTGAATATACTTCTGAGTAAACGCGCACAGGATCGCACTGTTAAGGAAATAATCGGGCAGCTCACCTAAAGAAATCGCGCAGATCACGCCGAAAAACTAATCGCGCTGGGAAAACGCTCTGCACCGCTGGAGCTGGGCTGAATCAAAGACCGAGGAAAGATGCAAAAGGATTTTTTGCCCCAGCGCCGGGAAAGCTCTTCCTCCGAAAATCAGGGAAGGAATGTTAAAGTGCAGCATTGCTTGAGACAACAGGAGCCCCCGAGTCCCCAAGCGCCTCCCTTTAACTGCTGAAACTCCGCGCCCACGGCCAGGCAGCCTCCAAGGGCCGGCGGGTAGCGGCTGGCTCGCCTCTCCCGGGCAGCGCTCCTGGCCGCGCGCCCGCCAAGGCGCGGCGACGCAACGCTTTGAAACTTGACCCCAGGACTGGCTGGGCCGGCGCGCGGCGCATCTCGGCTGCGGGCTGCGGGGTGCGGGCGAGGAAGGGCCGCTGCCTAGTGCTAGCCCTGAGCCAGCCCGGAGGGCGACGCGTGTCCCCGCGTTCAAAGAGCGCGATCCTACGCATGTTTAAGGCACAAGCCTATGCACGTGGAGGGCACAAAGGTACAATCCTCTGTTTAGAAGGGGGGAAAGGCCTACAGGTCCCAGCATGCCCCGCTCAGCCATACTGGCTGGGGCATGCTGGGAGTTGTAGGCCTTTTTTTCCGTCCAAACTTGTATAGAATTGTCACCTTAGACAGCGGCGGGGGGGAATCCTACAACTCCCAGCAGACCCCAGTATACACTGAAAGTCAACTGCTTGATCAAGGCACGTAAGCCTTCGCGCAAGCTGATGAAAACGCAGTAGAGGAGCACTTCATAAACACTTTTAGGGTGGTATCCTAACATGTTTCCTCTTTCTAAACGTGCATAGAATTTAAATGAGGCGCTAGGATTGCATTCACGGTTATACCATTAATTCCCGGAGGAGTAGCTCCTGGAAAAAGTTAGTCTGTTGCAACGAAAACATTAATGAAACTCGCGGGACATGTAAGACATGAGTAATTTATGCGGGTTCCATTTCTCTCAGCGGGACGAAAGCATCAGCAGAGCCTGGATTCAATACAAAGAGTCTTGTAACATCTGAAAAGGGAAAGAGCCATTAGGATAGATAACGGTATGAAGTGTAACTCGGGGTAGCACCGTGCGCCTGATCAAATGAACTGCAGTCCACGAAATTTTATGCCACAATTAGCCTTTAATGTGCCACAAATTTCTTCAATGGTTTTGCTGCAAAAAACTATTCCTTTCTGGAAGCTGCCCACCTTGAAATGAATGATGTAATAATGGATGCAATTCTCATTTTCCATTTAAATCTTTAGGGCAGAATCCTATGGATTGTTTGGGAAGAAAAATGGCCCTTTAATTGGCAGAGTTTGAACTCTAAGGTAGCCACAGTCCTTTAAAAACTGTATTTTAGTTTTAAGGATTGTAAGCTGTCCTGAGATGCTATGCATAAGGGACGGCATACAAAAGTTTTTAATAAATAAATGGAATACACTGGTTGGCTTGACTGCGGACTGTTGGGAGTTGTAGGACTTTTCCCTCTCTAAACGTGCATAGAATTGCTCCCTTGAGAGCATTGCCGGCAATTCACATGGTTATAGGAATCAGGTCATTAGTTTGAACATACATTATATTTGTATCTATGTGTTCATTAACCTTTTTATCATATAGGATGGACATAGTTTCCATTTTATTTGTGGTTTCAAAAACTGACAAATCAACTTTTTCCAAAGAAATTATTTTCTACCCAAGCAACTATTCTTAAGGTCAAATGGGATTCTCTGCCAACTAGTTTTATTTAGTTAAAACTAAATAAAATGTGTCTCCTACATTTTAAACCTATGCTTTCAGTTTTGCGTTCTCTCTCTCTCGGTCAGTCTTTCTGCCCAATCTTATCTTTCTCAGTTTAACTTGCCATAATATCAATCCTAAAGCTGCTCTTTTGGTCATTTAAAACTAGCCCAGTTAGATTTTTTTAAAAAAAATTCCATACTGTGGTGAAATTTGGGGTGGGTGGGGCTTGTACACCGGAAGCTTAAGGAAGCCGGACTTATTGCTGAATACCCTTGCAAAGTAGACAAGTATCTGTTTTTCAAAGAAACCATAGACAGTATGTTTCAGTGAGCAAGTGGGACATGTGTTTCTCCCCACTGCCTCTGTTTGGGGACATTGCAGCTTAGATGTCTCTTTGCAAAAAGAACCATTGAGGGAGAGACATGGAAAAAGAAACAGTTTGTCCTCTCTATGTTGGGTAACCACAGTCCAGTTCAAGCAGGACACACTGAGCATCTGAAATAGTGTCATTTGGCAAGCTGAAATGACACCAGCAGAATTCCAACAAACCTTTCCATTGTGTGAACAGCTGTGTGTCAACTTGTACAAGTGCATAATGTGCAATTGTTTGCACGAATGGGTTTGCACAAACAGCACTTTAGTTAGATTCTGCCTTTGCGCAAAGGTCCAAACCTCATTTCTGCTAGCAGAATGTCACAGATGCATGCTGCCTATTGCTGTCTTATCCAAATGTGGCCAGCAGTTAAGCTCCGTTTCCACCAATGCTCAGCCTGTATATTTGTAAGTAAACTCAAATATTTCAAAATGCCCAAAGCCTCCAGTGAACATTTTCCTAAGGAAATCGAACCTGAGTGAGAGCTGTGTTGCTTAAACTTCAGATGGCTCAGAGAAGGGAGTGAGCAAAACCAGATATTTGCTAACCGACTCAATTTCAGGACAAAATCATGAGGACATTGCATGCTGTGCTGTGGATCCTATAAATGCTTCCTCAAAATTAAGCCTTGCAAAAATCAAGCACTAGAGTGTGAAAGAGTTTATTATAGTAGCCATACTCAGTTGGAGCTCCTTGTTCTCACATTTAGGAGGGTCCATTAGAACCCGGCTCTTTCATGTCTGTGCAAAAGAAGCATCCTTCTGATTAAAAACCTTCTTTGTTCAGATCCCAGTGAAGAGCACAAGTTTCTTTGGAGTAAGCTAATTTTGCCAGTATACTCACACGTAAATTCAAAAGAAGAATCTTCCCAGGATGTCGCTCATGGTGAAATATTTCTTGGTTTACTTGACACTGGGATTCAGAGATGCTACTTCTGGAAGAAAAGCTACAATGCTTTTTGTACTTCCTCCACTCTATATTTCCCTGCTCATCATGGCTCCATATGCTTATGCAAAATGACTTTCATATGCATAAGAGAATCAAGTTTTGGAACTGAGTTCCCTTCATTTGGGAGCCTGTTGGCTGTGTGGGTTACAGAGTCTGGGCCAAGATCCCAGTTTCTGCAAAGCAGCTCAATATTTTTGAACTGTTTGGATGGGCTGAAAGAATAGGACAGCAATCCCTATACTCACTTGCCTGGGAATAAGCACCATTTAGCCTAATGGGGTTTACTTCCATGCACTAAAGTAACTTCCAGAGCTGCTGGAAAAATGACTAGATAGCATGTGTTGTGTCTCAAGTTGTGGGGTTCCTGGAAATTTTGAAGCCATGGGAGCAGGGAGTGGATGTAACTAGCATTCCCTGGGAATGAGTGTCCCCATCAGAGCTACTGCACAAGTACCCAGGTATACCTAGGTATAGGCAGGTGAGGAACTAGCATTTGTTGTAGTAAATCAGTTTCTCCTATCTGCAAGGATATACATTCATACATGGCATGAACATACACTGTATTTTAAATTAGGATAGCATGAAGAACAAAATGTCCATTACATGGGAAGGTTTTGCTTCCCATAGCACTTTCTGATATTCACTTTTTCCTTATTGCAGTTGTGACTACCATCTTCTCTTCTATGCATTCACAGGGTTGCCAGCTGGCCGTTTACAGCCAGTCATGTAAGGCAGGTAACCGCAACTGAGGAGACCTTCAGGATCAGCCACTAGTGGGCCCAACAAATTCCATCGAGACTCTGCCAGAATTCCTTTTCATCTTCTATAGGTCTTCCATCAGCTCCACCATACATGTGGCTGGTCTCTGCATCATTTTTTCTATGAAACCCTGGCTTGGAACTTCTACATGTGCAAACTACATTTTAGAAGCACAGTAGAACAATGGGCCCAAAAGAAGGAAGGCAACGGGGACAGAAGGAATCAGTGGTGACCAGCAGTTGTTGGTGTATCCAAATATCATTCCATCACTGTCAGATGCATGTTTAGTCAGAGTTACTTACTCACAGGTCAGTGCGTATTGGACTTCCGCCTTCTTTTCAATGAGACTCATTTCTGACTTGGTGTGTGATGAATTGCACTATAAATCTGGGTGGCAGAATATGCAGAAATCCAGTGCCCACTGACGAAATAGCTCAATCTGGACCAAGTCTCATGGAAATCAGCCACAGAGCTTTATGTGTAAATTCTCATAAGTTGCTATATTTAGTTTCTCCAGTGGGTTTCAGACTAAATTAAAAACTACCATGCAAGGTACACTGGTAACTTCTATTGGGCCAAATTAATAAAATATCTTACAAGGTATGTTTTCTATTGACATTCTCTGCTCCAAAAGAACAACATCAAGATTCTGTTTCTCCTGTTACTGATGGAAAAATCCTTGCAATACCATAAAAGCTTTTGCTGAAAAATGCCTTGTAATCTGATGGGCTGTTGCAGGCACCCACTGTAAACAGTTTACATTGATCTTTGCTCCAAGCTGTGGGGTATGTATAGTTGGGGGCTTTATGGCTTCAATGTGGTTTTCTTCCCAGCCGGAGGCTCCAGACTTTATTTTGCTCCTACTAAAAATAGATTGGAATTCCAGTGATTTGTGTTGAGTGATATAGCTTTTGTATTCATTTGTGTAAAAGCAGTGTTCAGAGATTCTGATCCCAGTGCTGAATTGGCTTGATCCAGGCCTTCTCCTGGATCACACATAAAGCCATATATATAAAATTAACTGTAACTACTCCAGATACTTTAAGGAATGCTCTAAAAACAACCAGGATGCTTCTCTTCAAGAGTGATTTTCACCAGTCTAGGGAGATGGTTTGTTTTGGCTGCTGGGAACAGACAGAATACTAAGCTGGCAAGAGCGCCTTTTTATAAAACGGATGGTCCTCTCACTTCCTCCCACGTACTCACCTACCACAAAAGTTTATCAGTTTTACATCCATCAAAGGATTTCATAACATACACAGAAGGTATATCAATGTTATTAGCTTGTTCAATCTGTGAGATCAGAGAAACCTAATTAACTCATGTGCTACCAACACTTGTGCCTTTGTTCTCCGTGGACTGGATTCCTTGGAGGTTTCTATTTCTGCTATAGCTGAATTATCAGGTGGATGTTG